TCTAGTTGTTGATTAGCTCTAGTTTTAGCTAGAGAAGAACTTTGTATAACTATTATTTGATAGTGAAGATTTTTTTGGTGGCTCGTGATTTTTTCCCTCTACATTGGAGGGTTTTTCACGTAAATCTTGGTGTGCTTTATTTTTCTTGCGTGTTTGATTATTGATTGTTGTCTATTGCTTCTGTATTGTTGTGATTATTGCTTCAGGAGCAACAAGTGGTATCAGAGCGAGGGTTATTTTGAGACATCGATATAGAAGCATCCTAGGATAGAAGTAAATTCTGTTTGAGATCATGGAGGGTGATACAGGTTCTATGATAAAATTGACATCATCGAATTATTCAATTTGAAAGCCTATGATGGAGGATCATCTATACTGCAAAGATTTGTATGAGTCAGTATTGGGTGATTTGGCTAAATCAACAGATATGAAAGATGAAAGCTGGAAGAAGTTAGGTAGAAAGACACTGGCTACAAACAAAAAATGGGTTGATATCAGCGTGTTCCATCATGTAACGCAGGAGTTAGATGCTCACATTATTTGAAAAAAATTGACAGCATTGTATGAGAGAAAAATATATATGAATAAAGTTATGCTTGTTAAAAAGATTACAACTTTACAGTACAGGGATGGACGATCTGTTACAGAGCACTTGAGTGATTTTCAAGATATATTTAATCGGATGACTACTATAGAGCTTAAGATGGATGATGAAATGAAAGCATTATTTTTTTTGGGTTCATTGCCAGACAGCTAAAATACTCTAGTTGTGACTGTTCTTAATTCAGCTCCTGATTATAAGGTGACATTGGAGATGGTAAAGGACAGTATGTTTAATGAAGAAGCAAGGCGAAAAGATGTAGACCCTGAGAATCAAGTTCTAGTCACAGAGAACAGGGGTAGAAACATCGACAGAGGTCAGGACTCAAAAGGCCGTGGTAAGTCTAAACATAGATCCAAGTCTAGAGGTAAAATGAAATGTTTTCGTTGTGGTAAGGCGGGTCATATAAAATGAAACTGTAAAATCTTGAAGCAAAAGTGAAAAGATGAGAAATGTAAGAGTTCAGATGATGGCAATATTGCAGCAGTGAATTCAGATAGTGATTCAGTTACTTTGATTTGTACACATAGTGATTGTAATCATGTTAGTGATCTCGGCATTGAGTGGATAGTTGACACAGGAGTGACATATCATTGTGTTCCTAAGAGAGAGTTGTTTACAACTTACAAAGTAGGAGACTTTGGTTGTACCAAGATGGAAAACAAGAGTGTGTCGCAGATTGTTGGGATTGGTGATATTATTGTACAAATTAGTACAGCATGTTGACTTGAGGGATGTCAGACACATTCCAGATATGAGAATGAACTTGCTTGCTATTAATGTCCTTGATAAGAAGGGATATGAAAGCCGACAAAAGAATGGACAGTGGAAGCTTCTCAAAGGATCTATGGTAGTTGCAAGGGGAAAACTATGCTGCACAATGTATAAGATATGGATGCAATTGAACGGTAACCAGGTAAATACCGTTGAAAATGATGCTTCAGTAAACTTGTGGCACAGGAGGCTGGCACACATGAGTGAAAAAGGGTTACAAGTTTTGGCAAGGCAGTCTCTCATTCCCTTGACCAAAGGTATGTCTCTCGATTCATGTGATTATTATTTGTTTGGTAAGTATCATAGAGTTTCTTTTCGTAAAAGTTCTCAAAGAAAAAGAAAATAGATTGGAATTAATTTATTCTGACGTATGTGGTCCCATTGAGGTAGAGTCATTAGGTGGTAGCAGATATTTTGTTACTTTTATTGATGATGCTTCACGTAAGACTTAGGTGTATATGTTGAAATACAAAAGTCAGGTACTGTAGTATTTTCAAAAATTTTATGCCATGGTTGAAAGGATGACAGGGTTACCCTTGAAGTGTATTTGAACTGATAATGGTGGAGAATACACATCTAAAGGCTTTGAAGAGTATTGCTCAAAGCATGGGATCAGGCATGAGAAGACAGAACCTGAAACACCGCAGCATAATGGTATAGCTGAAAGAATGAATCGCACCATTGTGGAAAAAGTCAGATGTATGTTGAGGATGGCAAAATTACCAAAGCCATTCTAGGGTGAAGCAGACAACACAGCTTGTTATTTACTTAACAGGTCACCATCAGTTCCTTTGGGCTTTGACATTCCAGAAAGAGTGTGAACAGAATAAGATACTTCCAAGGGAAAAACTTGAGCTTTGCAGTAACTTGGCCGGAATGAGTTTCCTGGCCAAGGTAAGTTCCAAATGAAACTGCTATGGTGATGAATCTCCTCCTAATAGGGCTGGAGGGGGAGATTGTTAGGAAAATGGGGTCCAGTCCCATGTAAGTGGTTTTGGACCAAGTAAAGGTCATGGGCTTTGATCTTTTATTTTACACAGAGCCCTAGCTACTTAATAAAAAAGAGGTGGGGTTGTTTTAAGTGTGTGTCAAAAATCAAGCAGAGAAAGAAGAAAAGTCAGAAAAAGCAGAGAGAGAAAAAAGAGAAGGGAGAGTTGGTTGAACGGAAGTCGATCTGTGATTCGATTGAGTTAGAACATTGTCATGAGGTTTATGATTCAGAGTTCTACATTCTGAACGGTGAAGATCGGGTTTGAAGCTCTCTAGGAATAAATCCATGGTGTATTTGTTGAGTCACTTATTTGATGAAATTTCTCCAATTGTTTCTCTAGTTGTTGATTAGTTCTAGTTTTAGCTAGAGAAAACTTTGTATAACTATTATTTGATAGTGAAGATTTTTCTGGTGACCCGTAGTTTTTTCCTTCTATACTAAAAGGTTTTTCACGTAAATCTTGGTATATTTTATTTTTTCTACGTATTTAATTATTGATTGTTATCTATTACTTCTGTATTATTATGATTATTACTTCAGACACAACAATTTCAACATCTCTTCTCTTTTAGAGTTTTTTCAAGTTTTCTTAATTTTTCTTCTCCAAGAGATAACTATGGATAAAAATTGTGGATAAAAATTTTTTTGTCCTCTTCTCCTTTAATTAGTATGACTATCTAAAGTCATAACTAAAGGCAAATAAAAAGCATGAAGGTTCATTGAATCCAATTTCACTTTTCTATATGCCTGTTGATAATTTTTTGCAGGCGTGGAAAAATTAAAGGGGAAGGACAGCAGTGAATTTCATTGATCCAACCTTGATTGATGGTCCCAGGAATGAAATGATGAGATGCATCCACATTGGATTACTATGCGTTTAAGAAAACGTAGCTGACAGATCAACCATGGCTACAATTATTCCGATGCTTAATAACTTATCAATCTCCCTTCCGGTGCCATCACAACCAACTTTTCTTATGCTCACCAATATTGAATCTGGCATGTCATCCTCGTTGGGCTATGATTCCATGGTGTCCAAAAGTGAAACACTCTCATTGTCCAAGAACGAAGCTTCGATTATTGATCTATGTCTTCGATAGAATTTGAGAATTAAATGTTAAAATTACAGACATTTCGATTTAAATTTACTCTACCGTCTCATGCCTTTATAAGAATTCTACATTAAGCGTTTTTTTTTCCCTTTATGGAACTTATGCTAATAAAATACTGAGTGTAAAAATTGTGGATGCATATATAATTCTTTTGATTAGAAATGAAAAAATTAAAAGATTTTTTTATGAATTCGAAATTTAATTTATGTAATTATGTTAAGATATGATATCAAATAAAATTCAATTTAAAATTTAATACTTATAATAATTTTATTCGTTACATTCTTTTTTGAAAAAAAAAAACTCCTATGATTATGTTTGAAAAACAATTACTCCCTCTATCTCTTTTTTTTTCATAATTTTTTTTAATGTTTCAAAATTATATTTTTCTTAATATTTAATTTTTTTTTTATATTTTAAGAACGAAGAGAGGATAAGTTTTTAATGTCTTAAATTTTTGTTGTAGATTTGTCTTACGAATCATCTTTCGATTTAGTCTTCCTAGTCAACATCTGTTCACCTGCTTTTTAGTCTGCTCAACAATTAATTTACGCCGTCAAGCTGTCAATTTTTCCTTGACCAAAATAAAAAATGTTTATATCCGTTTGCCCTTAACCAAAGCATTGAAATATAAAACATTAAAATATGAAAAAGGTTCCTTGTTTTCCTAGATCTTTTACAAAGACGTGCATGTATATACAACTTAAAACTTTGAATAGTTCAACCATTTAAAATATTTATTATCAAGTTTGCTATTTGAATAATAAATTTTTTAATTATTTAATCATTTCGAATAAGTATTTATTATTAAATAAAATTAAAATTTTTAATGATAATCTTTACTAAAATATTGATTAAAGTTCGACAAATAATTTACTAACAAAAATTATCAATGAAACTTGAAATAATTAACCAATAAAAAAAATACAATTTTTTATTACTTTATACACGATAGTTTTTAAATATGTTTTAGTAAATCTGTAATTTTATCTTTGTTTAATTTATATAGCTATTTATTTAAAAATTAAACTATCACTTATGCATTATTCAGATTAAAGCACACATCACATAATTACATAATTAAACGTAACTTATGCGACAAATCAGTAATGAATAATTTAAAATCTGACGTAATTTCAATTAAACTAATGTGAAACTCATTCAATTTTTTTTTTTTTTTTGGAACTTGAGAAATATTACTATTCAAACATGCAATGAATTATTTTATGTATTACTTAATTTAAAGTTCTTTTTTTTATTGTTTACTTTGTTTTAGAAGTTATTTTGAAAAGCCAGTTAAGAATCGGTTGACAAAATTTTTAAGCAATATAATTTAAAAGAATTATTTTACCCCAATTTGTCAGTTAGTTGATGAGCCGTGCATTCTTTTCTATCATTAATTAATAATCAGGTGGAGAGTCATGAACAGTCGTTGGTGAATGGCTGGCGTAGGCCAAGGGACCACACGTATATAGTTGGTAAATAAATTAGTTTCCTAGGCCAAAAATTATAGACACTGGGAATGGGATCTTCAACATTTCTTCCGTTTTTTTATTCAGTTCTTCTATCCCTTGCTACTCTTACCCTTTCGGAGGATGTTTATTTTGAGCATAGCTGTAATGAAACCAGAGGCAACTACACTGCAAACAGCACTTACCAGGCCAACCTCAATAGCATCGTTTCTCAGTTCTCCTCCCTTACAGAATTCAATTACGGGTTCTTCAATCTGTCTGCTGGTGTAAGCCCTGACAACGTTAACGTAATCGCCCTTTGCAGGGGTGACTTAAACCAAAGCCAATGCAACAGTTGCCTCAACTACACCGCAACCGAGCTCGAGCAATTTTGTCCCTCCAACAAGGAGGCGACCGCGTGGTCTGAACTTTGTTTGGTGCGGTACGCCAACAGAGACATGTACGGAATGCTGGAGAACGATCCTCGCACTTGTGCATACAACCCAGCGAATGCATCGAACCCTGATCAGTTCAATCAGGCATTAAGTGAACTATTGAATAACCTGAGCAGCGAAGCTGCAGCGGGGGGTCCTCTTCGCAAATATGCGGCAGGTAAAGCTACAGCTGGTAACTTGCAAACGGTATACGCAACGGTGCAGTGTACTCCTGATTTGGAAGAGATAAATTGCACTACTTGTCTAAATTTCGCGATGAGCGAGCTTCAAAAGTGTTGCTATGGAAGGATAGGATGCAGGGTTCTCAGACCAAACTGTGTCTTGAGGTTTGAATCTAACCCATTTTATAATCAGATTGCCGTTCCTCTACCGCCTTCTTCTTCTCCGACTTCACAGGAGGTAAAGGATCTTGCCTTTCCGCTAAAAGATATCGTTCTCTTTCCTTTTAATGCTAAGAATAATCAGATCTTGACTATATAAGGATTCTCTTAGCATAAGACATGTAATTTACAATTTACAAATGGCATATATCTTGGCTTTTCCGTTTTTGGGTACAAAACGAATTTTTGATTATTCCCTTGAATCCCTGCAAATTGGCTTTTTTATTTATTCATTTTCTTGCTTTAAGTTGCATGCTACTGATCCATAGACAAAACCACAAAGTTTTTGTTATAAGAAAGGAAACAGCCATTCCCTCAACAATTTTGTTGTTTTCTTCAATTTTTTATTGGGTTAAGATTTATTAAACCACTACTCATTTGCTGGTCTTCTAGGAATTGTTCTATTTCCTTTTAAGTGCTTTGCTCTGCTTGTCCTGTTTTTACATGATCTATTCAAAATCCTTTTTATTACTATAATTTTCTACAATACATGCAATTTAATTAGCTGATTTATATTAGCTTTATTAAAAAAAAAACTACTAAAATTTACTTTTCCTTTGCTATTAAGTTTTCAATTAAAAAAAAAACAAAGTTTTTGAATCATCATTATTGTAATTTTTCATCGCGGAGACAAAGAACGGTCAAACTTCAAAGTTGCAAAGAGATAGCCGCTCTTGAATAAATGAGTAGAAGTCTTCTGTGTAGTGCTTGCCAGATTCCAAGGGATCTTGCTTATTTATTTATTTATTTCTGTTTGTGGCATTAATTGCGGGGATTGTCTTATTCTAACATTGTGTTTTGCAGGAAAGGGGAACAACACAACAAGAACAGTAATCATTGTTATTGCTTCAGTTGTTGGCGTTCTGATACTAATCATCATCTCCATATGCATTTTTATGAGACGTAGAAAGACACCAAAACAATTTGAAAGTAAGTAAATTGACTCCTGACATTAAATTTGGCTTGATTCACTAAAATATAATGACAGAAAGACATTCGACGAAATTTTCTACCGCTAAAAACAAACAGCACACTACTGCTATGGTCATAGAGCAGATGGTGAAGAAACTGTACAATAAACATATTGCTTTTTGCAGCTAAGGATGAGATTATTGGGGCTGAGTCCTTGCAAATCGACTTTGATTCTGTTCTGGCTGCAACTAATAACTTTTCAGATGCCAATAAGCTTGGCCAAGGAGGATTTGGAGCTGTTTACAAGGTAAAGATCAGCACTGCTATCAGAAAAGAATGTAGTATATTTTATCTCAACGAGAATCATATTTCTAAATCCATCAGAAGTCACTTATGGTACATTCTACTATATTTCCAGGGTCAGCTTCCAAATGGAGAAGAGATTGCTGTGAAAAGACTGTCTATGGAATCTCAACAAGGAGACATAGAATTTAAAAACGAAGTCCTATTATTGGCCAAGCTTCAACACCGCAATTTGGTTAGGTTCGTTGGTTTCTGCTTGGAAGGACACGAAAAGATTCTCATTTATGAGTTTGTGCCAAACAAAAGCCTTGATCATTTCATTTTTGGTAAAGTTTCTGTTTCATTTTCATTTCTGATTGTATTTATATCAGTTTCCTTTTCCTAGCAAAAAACAAATTGGGTTTCATGTTTTCAAAGGCTATAGTACTTTGTATATTTTGTCTTTTAGCTGCCTAGCCAGCAATAGAGACATGTTAAGACTGATAATACCTGAGCAAAACCTATATTAATCCTAGAATTTGTTCCTATGCAATACGATTGATCTAAAAATTTTGTGATGATATAGATCAGATCAAGCGAGCAGAACTAGATTGGGAAACACGCTACAAAATCATCGAAGGCATTGCTCGTGGACTCCTTTACCTTCATGAAGATTCTAGACTTCGGATAATTCATCGGGATCTCAAACCAAGTAATATTTTGTTAGATGCAGATATGATTCCTAAAATTTCCGATTTTGGGATGGCAAGGCTGTTTGGACAGGACGAAACGCAAGGCAGTACTATGAGAATTGTGGGAACCTAGTAAGAGCTTGGAATTGTTGATGTTGTTTTTTTTCTTTTATTCATGCATTAATCTAGTAGTATTTTATCCAGCAGAAACAGCATGAAAATCCAAAATAGAATAAAAAACTCACGAGTTTTCCATGATGCAGTGGATATATGGCTCCAGAATATGCTATTCAGGGGCATTTCTCAGTAAAATCAGATGTCTTCAGCTTTGGTGTATTACTTTTAGAAATTATCAGTGGTCAGAAAAATAATAGCTTCCACCATGGGGAGAATAGTGAGTTCATGCTGAACTTTGTAAGTATATGATTTCTAAAGACTAGAGTCATGTTTATTTCCTCATGCAAATAAAATTGTAAATGTTAAGAGTCATATTTGAATGTTTTAAGTGGACATTGATGATTTCTTGTCAGGCGTGGAAAAATTGGAGAGAAGGGACAGCATTGAATCTGATTGATCCCACATTGAGTGATGGTTCAAGAAATGAGATAATGAGATGCATGCACATCGCACTGCTATGCGTTCAAGAAAACGTAGCTAGGAGACCAACCATGGCTTCAGTTGTATTCATGCTGAATAGCTTCTCGACCACCCTCCCAGTGCCATCACAACCAGCGTTTTGTATGCAGAGTAACATTGAAACTGACATGTCATCTTCATTGGCCACTAATTCATGGGCGTCAGAGTCCAAAAACTCCAACATCGAGTTACTTCCGGCATCCCTCAACGAGGCTTCAATTACTGAGCTATCTCCTAGATAGTGTTTGGGATTTGTATACAATAAGTTTATTATCTTGAATTTCATTTCAATATATATTTTATTCCAGTTAAAGGCTTTGCTGTATATCTCACCACCAAGAGGTGGGGGTGAAAGTTTGTGTGGAAATCTCACATCCTATACTAATATATAATCCACCTCTGTGATCAACGGTTTTCAACTTTTAGGATATCTAACTTCAGAGATGGGGCAAACAAATTGACCCAAATTTACTAGCTCAAGATACTCTTTCAGTCTTTCATTCTTTTCAGCCTACAAAATAGAACTCTACTGAGCACAATCAAGAAGAATTAAACAACCAAGAGCCACCTAATTCTCCTGGAAATTGAAGCAATAGCGATGCATCAAATACAAATTTTAACATGCATCACTTGTCCATGCATACCGGCACATAAAACGTAGAATAAATGAACATTAAAATCCAGGCTTACCTTTAGTTCATTAATCTTCTCTTGCAGACTCTCATTATACTCTCAGTTTGTCCGAAAATTAAATATGCCGCAAAAAAATCACCAGAAGGTTGTCAGAAAATTAAAAAAAACAAAAAACAGTAATTTAATACATGGGTTATCTGACAAAGAACAAAATTGAAATGTATAGAAGACAAATCTTACCTTAATCATTCAATTGTAGGCTTAATATACCAAATTCCAACATCTCTTATACTCCTGTGGGTTTCTTCAAGTTTTCCTAATTTTTTTTCTATCAGAGATGAAAACTGTGGTAAAATTTTTTTTCCTCTTGTCCTTTAATTTCTAAAGCATGGCTATCTAAAGTCATATCTAAAGCCAAATAAAATCATGAAGGTTCATGGAATCCAATTTCACTTTTCTATATGCTCATTGACAATTTTTTGCTGGTTTGGAAAAATTGAAGGGAAGGGATAGCAGTGAATCTCATTGATCCAACCTTGATAGATGGTTCCAGGAATAAAATGATGAGATGCATCCACATTGGATTACTCTGCGTTCAAGAAAACGTAGCTGACAGACCAACCATGGCTGCAATTATTCTGATGCTTAATAGCTTATCAATCTCCCTCCCGATGCCATCAGAACCAGCGTTTTTTATGCACACCAACATTGAATCGGACATGTCATCCTCGTTGGGCTATGATTTCATGGTGTCCAAAAGTGAAACACGCCCATTGTCCAAGAACGAAGCTTCGATTACTGATCTATATCCTCGATAGGATTTGAGAATTGAATGTTAAAATTACAAATATTTTGACTAAGTTTATTCTTCCGACGTATGCCTTCATAACAAATTTACATTTAGTGTTTCTTTTTCCTTTTTTTAACTTATACTAATAAGAAACTAAGTGTAAAAATTGTGTTTGCATATTTAATTCCTTTTATTAGGAAAAAAAAAGAAAATTAAAAGATCCTTTTATGAATTTAAATTTAAATTTAATTAATTCATGCAATTATTTTAAAAAATGACATTTAAATTCAAATTTCAATATTTATAATTTTTATTTTTATTCATTGCATTCTTTTAAAGAAAACAAAATCTCCTTTGGTTTGTTTGAAAACAATTAAAAATTTTTAATGTCTTGAATTTTTGTTATAGATTTGGTCTTATGGATCATATATTTTTGAATAAAGATCTATTTGAATGGACGATGAAATTAAAACCAATAATAGTGATAAAATTTATTATTATAATAGTGAGATTGATTATTATAATAAATAAATTAAAATTAGTGATATAATATATGTTTAAATATAAACATAATGCTGATAATATAATAAAGAGTAGTGAGAAAAAATGATTATTAAAGATAGTAGATTAAAGTTTTTATATAATAAAAAATTTAAATTTTTTAATATTTTTGAAGTTAATAAGTAATTGAAATTTATTAAAATAATTTATTCAATTTATTATTTATTTATTTATTCAATTTCTGGTTTTTTATTAATTAATTTATCCTATAATTATAAACAATTCTTTATTATTTTTAATTAAAGAATTTATTTAAAAAATACAAAATAAAAATGAAAAAATCTGACATCATAATCGTGGATGTAATTGGAATAGAGGCGGCGGTTGAAGATTCAAAACCTTCACTGAACCTTTTAGCCCCAGCGAGAAATTAAGACAGCAGCACAGTGAAAACAGTTTCATCACATCATAATCAACTGATCCAAATGAAATTCTAGCGTGATTGATAGTGCCAACCATGTCAAACCACGGTCAACTGAGGAGCCAAATGGACGGTTAAGTTTTGCCGATCAACGGTCAAGAATCAATTTGAACGGCTTTTTTGTTCGAGTTGTCACTTGTCAACCTTATCTGTTTGTCCTTAACTAAAGCATTGAAATATGAAAATAAAATTTGAGAAAGACGTAGCAACTTAGAACTTTGAATGTATAGCTCACATTATGAATAATTTAAAATATTTATATATATATCTAGTTTTTTATTTGAATAATTTTTTAAAATACTCAAAAAAATTATTTTATTAGCTATTTGAATAATAAACTTTATAATTATTCAATCATTTCAATTAAATATTTATTATTAAATGAAATTAAAATTTGAATGACAATCATTACTAAAATATTGATTAAAGTTCGCTAAATAATTTACTAACAAAAATTATCAATGAAACTTGAAATAATGAATCAATAAAAAATATAAGTTATTGTTTTCCTTATTACTCTATACATAAAATAGTTTTTTAAATTTTTTTAGCAAATTTGCAATTTTCTCTTTTTAATTGATTTAAATTTTTATGTAAAAATGATAATATAAAAAATAAATTATCACTCTTGCATTATACAGATTAAAGCACATCTCACATAATTAAATAATTAAAACTAACTTATGCCACAAATTAATTATAAGATATTTAAAAGCTTACATAATTTCAATTAAACTAATCTAAAACTCATTCAATTTTTTTCAAAATTGAGATATATTACTATTTGACCATTCAATTATAAATTATTTTTTGGATGAACAGAAAGATTTATTTTGGTGAGATTAAAGATAGCAGTGAAAGTAATATTGATTATTAAAGTGATTGGATTAAAATTAATTACAAAGATATATATTTGAATTAAATATAATGATAACGATGAGATAAATTATAATGAGAATGAAAATAATTCTTAAAAATATTAGATTAAAATTTATATGTAATAAAAATTTTAAATTATTAAATATTTATAAAATAAATAAATTATTAAATTATTTTTATGTTAAATAATAGTTTTATTAGTAAATATAAATAATTAATAAATTTATCTTTTAAAAAATTATTTTTAAAATTTTTAAATAAAAAAATTAAAAATGAAGAAAGTTGAAAAAAAAAAAAAAAAAAAAAACAAATGAAGGTCATTTCAGTGAACCTACCCTTGAAATTAAGAATCTTTCACGAGACTAATAAAGTTTTACTGAAGATGTATCATAGTAAGAGGTGCAGCACTGTTGTCACCCGAACGCGATTTCGTCCTTTAACAGTGCCTCACCATAACTCCGTTTAAATCCAAATCAAGCCGTAGGCGGTGGGACCAAACTTATACCATAAAAGGCGGTATTAGTTTCCCTAGGCCAAAATTTGTGACGGGCGAGGACTGGACGCCGGGGATGGGATCTTCAACATTTCTTCTGTTTTCTTATGCAGTTCTTCTATCCCTTACTACTCTTAACCTTTCGGATGATGATGTTTATTTTGAGCATAACTGTAGTGAAATCAGAGGCAACTACACCGCAAACAGTACTTACCAGGCCAACCTCAATAGCATTATCTCTCAGTTCTCCTCTCTAACTGAAATCAATTATGGGTTCTTCAATCTGTCAGCTGGTGTAAGCCCTGACAAAGTTAACGTTATCGCACTTTGCAGGGGTGACTTAGACCAAGACCAATGCAACAATTGCCTCAACTACACCGCAACCAAGCTCGAGCGATTTTGTCCCTCCAACAAGGAGGCGACCGCGTGGTCTGAACTTTGTTTGGTGCGGTACGCCAACAGAGACATTTACGGAAAGCTGGAGAACGATCCTCGTGAATGCAAAAACAACCCAAAGAATGCATCGAACCCTGATCAGTTCAATCAGGCATTAAGTGAACTATTGAATGCCCTGAACAGCAAAGCTGCTGCTGGGGGTCCTCTTCGCAAGTATGCAGCTGGTAATGCTACAGCTGGCAACCTGCAAACGATATTCGCTACGGCGCAGTGTACTCCTGATTTGGACGAGGGAAATTGCACTACTTGTCTAACTTACGCTATGGGAGTGCTTCGAAGCTGTTGCTATGGATGGAAGGGATGCAGGGTTCTCAGACCAAACTGTGTCTTGAGGTTTGAATCTAACCTATTTTATAGTCAGATTGCAGTTCCTCTACCGTCACCGTCACCGCCACCGCCACCATCTCCAACAGCTTCTTCTTCTCCGACGTCAAAAGGAGGTAAAGGATCTGGCCTTTCTGCTAAAAGATATCGTTCTCTTTCCTTGAAAATTAATGCTCAGAATAATAAGATCTTGACTATATAAGGATACTCTTAGCATGAGAAATGTAATTTAAAATTTGCAAATGGTATATATCTTGGCTTTTCCGTTTTGGGTACAAAATGGATTTTTCATTGTTTCCTTGAATCCCCTGCAAATGGCCTTTATATTTATTCATTTTCTCGCTTTAAGTTGCATGCTATTGAATCGTTGATCCATTGGTAAAACCACAAAATGCTATTGACCGTTCTTTGTCTCGACGATGTAGAATTATAATAATGATAATTCAAAAACATTTTTTTTTAATTGAAAACTTAATAGCAAAGGAAAATAAAAATTAAGTAGTTTTTATTTAAAAAGGCAATATAAATCAGCTAATTACATATGCATGTGTAGTAGAAAATTATACTAATAAAAAAGATTTTGAATAGATCAAGTGAAAATAGAGCAAGCAGAGCAAGCACTTAAAAGGGAATAGAACAATTCCTATAAGACCAGCAAGCACTGGTTTAATATGTGCCTACCAGATTCCAAGGGATCTTGCTTATTTATTTATTTCTGTTTCTGGCATTAATTGTGGGGATTGTCTTCTAATTCTAATATTGTGTTTTGCAGGAAACGGGAACAACACAACAAGAACAGTAATAATTGTTATTGCTTCAGTTGTTGGCATTCTGATACTAATTATCATCTCCATATGCATTTTTATGAGACGCAGAAAGACACCAAAAAAATTTGAAAGTAAGTAAATTGACTCCATTAATATGACATTAAATTAGGCTTGATTCACTAAAATATAATGACAGAAAGACATTCAACGAAATTTTCACCTGCTAAAAACAAACAGCGCTCTACTGCTGTGGTCATAGACCAGATGGTGAAGAAACTGTACAATAAACATATTGCGTTTTGCAGCTAAGGATGAGATTACTGGGGCTGAGTCCTTGCAAATCGACTTTGATTCTGTTCTGGCTGCAACTAATAACTTTTCAGATGCCAATAAGCTTGGACAAGGAGGATTTGGAGCTGTTTACAAGGTAAAGATCAGCGCTGCTATCAGAAAAGAACGTAGTATATTTTATGTCAACGAGAATCATGTTGTAACCTGCATTTCTCAATCCATCATCAGTCACTTATGGTACAGTCTACCATATTTTCAGGGTCAGCTTCCAAATGGACAAGAGGTTGCTGTGAAAAGACTGTCTAGGGAATCTCAACAAGGAGACTTAGAATTTAAGAACGAAGTCCTATTATTGGCCAAGCTTCAACACCGTAATTTAGTTAGGTTCCTTGGTTTCTCCTTGGAAGAACATGAAAAGATTCTCATCTATGAGTTTGTGCCAAACAGAAGCCTTGATCATTTCATTTTTGGTAAAGTTTCAGTTTCAGTTTCAATTTCATTTCTGATTGTATTTATATCAGTTTCCTTTTCTTAGCAAAAAACAAATTGGGTTTCATGTTTTCAAAGACTATAGTACTTTGTATATTTTATGTCTTTTACCTGCATAGCCATCAAGAAGGACATATGATAATACCTGAGGAAAACCTATATCAATCATAGAATTTGTTCGTATGCAATACAATTAATCTAAAAATTTTGTGATAATATAGATCGGATCAAGCGAGCACAATTAGATTGGGAAACACGCTACAAAATCATTGGAGGCATTGCTCGTGGACTCCTTTATCTTCATGAAGATTCTAGGCTTCGGATAATTCATCGCGATCTCAAAGCAAGTAATATTTTGTTAGATGCAGATATGACTCCTAAAATTTCCGATTTTGGGATGGCAAGACTGTTTGGACAGGATGAAACGCAAGGCAGTACTATAAGAATTGTGGGAACCTAGTAAGAGCTTGGAATTGTGTTTTTCTTTTTATACATTCATTAATCTAGTAGTATTTTATGCAGTAGAAAAGCATGAAAATCCAAAATAGAATAAAAAATTCACGAATTTTTTCATGATGCAGTGGATATATGGCTCCAGAATATGCTATTCATGGACATTTCTCAGTAAAATCAGATGTCTTCAGCTTTGGTGTATTGCTTTTAGAAATTATCAGTGGTCAGAAAAATAATTGCTTCCGCCACGGGGAGAATAATGAGTACATACTGAACTTTGTGAGTATGTGATTTCTAAACACTAGGGTCATGTTTGTTTCCTCATGCAAATAAATTGTAAATGTTACATGTTTCAATGTTTTAAGTGGACACTGCTGATTTCTTGTCAGGCGTGGAAAAATTGGAGAGAAGGGACAGCATTGAATGTGATTGATCCCACACTGAGTGATGGTTCAAGAAATGAGACAATGAGATGCATCCACATCGCACTGCTATGCGTTCAAGAAAACGTAGCTAGGAGACCAACCATGGCTTCTGTTGTTTTCATGCTGAATAGCTTCTCGACCACCCTCCCAGTGCCTTCACAACCAGCGTTTTGTACGCAAAGCAACATTGAAACTGACATGTCATCTTCATTGGCCACTAATTCATGGGCGTCAGAGTCCAACAACTCCAATATGGAGTTACGCCCGTCATCCCTCAACGAGGTTTCAGTTACTGAGCTATCTCCTAGATAGTGTTTGGAAGATGTATACAATAAGTTTATTATCCTGAATTTCATTTGTATTTCTTATATTCCAGTTAAAGACTTTGCTGTATATCTCACCACGAAGAAGGGGGTGAAAGTTTGGGTAGAAATCCCACATCCAATAATATTATGTAATCCACCTCTGTGATCAACGGTTTCCAACTTTTAGCGTATCTAACTTCAGAGATCGTGCAACGTAATTGACCAAAATTTATTTGTACAAAATTAGAATTTATCTAAGCAATTAATGATGAAAGTTTCAACTTCCAAAGCTTCGAACAACATGGCTCCCAAATCTTCGAACAACATGGCTTCCTGTTCTCACACTCTTCCAAAGGAGAGGAGTAAAAAGACAAAGTACAAACTAAAAATTAGAAGTTATCCGACCAATAAATGATGCGAGTTTCAACTTTCAATCTTCGCCCAACATGGCTTTTAGTTCTCATACTCTTCCAGAGGGGAATAAAAAGTAAAAGGTACAAACTAAAACGAAAATCACCAAGATCAATGACAAATATAAGTTTGAACAATGGTTCTTTGTGCTGAGGACGGCAGGCACAAAATAACAGCTTGCCAGCTTGTGCAACCGGAGGACGGAGAATATTATCCTGTGATGCATCAACAGCAGCAGGAGGCAATAACGGCCGCATGGAAGCTCCAGGATAGACAACAAAGGGCACTAGCATGCCACCAACAACTTGGCCTGGGTTAAAAAATGGAGTTGGAAGAGCAGGAAGATGAGGTAGGAATCCTGGCTCAGAACCAAGGTCTTGACTTGCCGCTCAAGATTCTCTTTCTCAGTCTTTAGTCTTTGTTTCTCATGACCAAGTTCATTCTTTTCAGCCTACAAAATAGAACTCTACTCAGCACAACCAAGAAGAATTAAAGACTCTAGCCACCTAATTCTCCTAGAAATTTAAGCAATACCGATGTATCAAATACAAATTTTAACATGCATCACTTGTCCATGTATACTAGCACATAAAACGTAGAATAAATGAACATCAAAACCTAGGCTCACCTTTAGCTCATTAATCATCTCATGCATGACAGGTTTCTAAGATTAAGATCATACCAGCTTTTCAGACACTTCCTCGCAAAGCTTTTTCAGACACTTCCTCGCAAAGCTCCTCCTTTGAAGACGCATTATTATCCCTTAACTCAGAAACAACAGCATTCAACTCTTCTTCGTTTTTCTTCTCTAGCTCTGCAGGACAGAAAATTAAATTTACAAAATCTAGCATTAAAATAAACCAACTTTTCAAAAGCAGTAAAAATTACCTGTATCAATGCATTTTTTCTCAGCAGATTCCATTGAATTCTTTAGCTTCTATTTATCAAGTTCATGATTCTCTTCACATTGTTGAAAGCTTAAGCCTTTTATCATGTTCAGCTGGGTGTTTATATTTTGCCTACACCAAATAATCACCTACAGCAACAATAATAAAAACAAATTTGGGTCGGGTTGTTTAGCCCATTAATATAAACCTGCTCGACCCAGGAGTTGACCGATTGGCCCACCTTAACTTGCCTCGTTATATTTTGGTGCCGTTTGTTGAAGTCTGACAGTTTTGTAGCAAAGCATATGCCGATTCCACGTGTCAAAACACAAGCAGGCCACCATGGAACGCAATCCAACATGTCAAATGCCGAAATCATTGACCACCACATGTCTATGAACAATTGATATCCAGGTTATGCAAAGTAGAAAATAACAGATAAGGATCTGCCCGAAACCAATCTACGTCACAAAAAAAAAGAAAAAGATGCGAACAAACCTGAACAAATTCGTTAGTCGAACACCCCAATCCCATATAGTGATACTTATCCCAAAACAAAAATATAATTCTTCATCTCTTCTCTAAGCCCTGTCATATTGAAAACACTTTGTTGTGGAGATGGCAGAAGCAGTGGCATCCATGGCTGGCTTACTTGGATTCTCACAGGCTGTCCCGGAAGTCAGTCTCCAATTCAGTGGCCAAACCCGCTTGAACATTGCTAGCAACAATAAAGTGGCTGTGGCTAGGTCTGGTTTCATCGTTAGAGCTCAACAGGCACCTACTGAGCCTGAAACTGGACGCAGAGCCGTGTTGGATCTTGTTGCTGCTGGTTTGGCCACAGGCTCCTTTGTTCAAGCTGTGCTTGCCGATGCAAAAAGCATCAAGGTTGGCCCACCTCCACCACCCTCTGGTGGATTGCGTAAGTCATCAATTCTTTTCAATTTCTACAGATCTTCTGATGATTTTTTGCTCTCCCTGCAGTTAGCTTTGTTTGGAATGGTAGTTTGGTTAAACTTGTAAATCAGCACTGTACTTTGCTACGAGAAGGTAAAGAAAGTACATAAAATTGGAATGAAAATGACAAGATTTTTATCATTAGTTTTATGGATATTTGTCAATTGGGCTCCGTTTGCTAGAATAATGAAAGGAAAATGATTTTGCATATAATGAAAGGAAAATGATTTTGCATTGGAAACTTTTTCTTAGTTTCTAGTAGAAATCATTCATAAACAATCCCTTATAAATTGCTAAGAGGATTAACCACCAATGTAGTTTCCCAAATTTAATCAAAATTGCTTTGTAGTGTAGGGATCGTAAAGAACATGACAACTGAAATTGTAGGTTGAAAATGCAATTATTATATATTTGATACAGTTCAGTAATTTGATGGTCAAATCGGCATGTTGGCAGCTGGAACTCTCAATTCTGATGAGCCAAGAGACCTTGGTCTCCTATACAAATCCAGGTTCTTCCTCCAACCACTTACTCCAGCTCAGGCAGCTCAGAGCGCAAAGGAGTCAGCCAAGGACATTCTTTGCGTGTCAGAGTTTGATTTGGACAAAAAAAGCTGCTTATGTCGAGAATGATCTCCGTTCAAGCTTAGGTATCTCCGCTATTGACCTTACACGCATTTCTGCCAAGCCCAAAGATGAGGAGAAGTCTCTCAAGGATCTCACTAAAATCTCTTCGACGTACGTTTTGAAGTTTTCTTTGGTGTTTTCTGCATAATTGCCACCCAATTACTATTATTTAACGAAACATGGTAAATTATCATGAGTTTCTGATATGATTTTTTTTTTCTTATGATCATTTTTTCTTATAGCTGGACCATGCAGCCAAGATCAAGAGCACCCCTGAAGCAGAGCACCCCTGAAGCAGAGAAGTATTATGCTCAGACTTTATCTACTCTGAACGACGTTCTTGCCAAGCTTGGCTAAGGGAATTGTTGCATTTTGAAGTAAGCCTTGTTCATCATTTTAGAGACAATTTCATTTCTATGCTATCCAAAGGGAATCTTTGTCTATTAACGAAATTGAAACTTGTTAATTTGTGAAGCACTTTCCCGTCACTCAAAAGATTTTAGTTTCAGGAAACAAAGTGGAAAACAACAGCCAATCAATTTAAGCAACAATCAAAATAAATAATGCACACTTTTGCCTTGCTCGTGGCAGTCGGAATATTAGTTTGAATTCTTTTTCCATTTATAGTTTCCGTTAGTGGTCACAAAAAAAAATAGTTCATTACTGAGCTTGAGTTCGGCTTGATTGGAAATTTTGAGGCTTGAAACTTGGTTTGAGCTCAACTGAGCTTATTTTTTCATTCTCAAATTTGGCTTCTTATTTACTCGAGCTGCCTTAGGTTTGACTGGATAAACTTGATTAAGCTGTTACTTGATACTTTACAAGTTTTGGAATTGGCTGGTAATGCTGCAAGGGACAAGAGAAGAAAGGGATTGTTCCAAGGCACATTCAGTTAGCAGTTAGGAACGATGAGGAACTTAGTAGGTTGCTTGGAACCGTTACAATTGCTAACGGTGGTGTTTTGTATAATACTCACAAGTCACAACATGTTGTTGCCTAAGATGGCTGGTGCTGGCTCCAAGGCCGGCCTTGCTGATTATGATAGTTAGGCTTATTCAAGTTATGAAATATCAGTATTCTTTCTGGGTTTTTCATCTTTTAGATTTTTTTTTTTTTGGAGGATTAGTTTGAGGGAATATTTTAAGATTGGCAATGGCTTCAGTTGACGTTCTAAATCAATTTCTAATTGAATCATACGATTTCTTCAGTATTGTTTCTGCTTTCAAGAAACCTTTCTCATTGTATCCAAAATATCAATACAAATAATTAAAAATCAAATGTTAACTTTGTTACAGAGCTTGGAAAAGTTGGATCCCGTAAATTAAGAAGTGGCTCGAGGTTGATTTGCTCTATCTTCTCGGGCTGCTGCGGTGGCCGATACATAGTAAGCAACAGTGAAAAGTCCATGGATAAAACATAGAATTCCTCCAATGGAGAAAAGCCGATGATGAGTTATGCCGCATGTTTTCCTTGACTTTGAGTTTGACAGTGTCCCTATGATCAGCATTGAGAATCCAACTGCTAATACTATCCTGTATTTGTCATCACAAGTTAGAGGGCATGATTATATATCTTTGCTCAAAAAAAAAAAAAAAAACCTTGAGTACTGATTTTAAGTAGATATTTCTTGACCATAAAGGAAAGCATGATTTATATCTCTGGCAAACTTTGTTAGGAAAAGGTTTTGATTATGGATTGGGGTACCTTCAGGCTTAAGCCTTCACATTTTTTGTGCAAATGAAATGAAAATAATAATTTCAAGGTGGACTCGAAACATTTAATTCTCAATTTGTTATGAAAAGGTGGAGATCAAGGAGTGGCAAGGCCCGGATATAGAGATTGTTTCAGGTTTTTATCAACTTTGGGCCTTGCCCTGAGATATTTTTCTACTTTTGATTCTATCATACAATGTGAGCAGTTTATTTGTTGGTCATGAAGAAGTGTAGATAAAGATACAAGACCGAGAGGGAGATGAAGGGACATTAGAAGACATACCATGAGAAAATGAGGGAAGCCACGGCTAATTGTTTGTTAGCAGTTGCTCTGTCTAAGTCTTCCTTGGTCCAAATGCATACGCAACCACCAAGAAGGTTGCCAATAACATGGGCAAGGCCAAGAAGTACTGCTGCCGCCAATCCTAGCTTGAAAGCAGTAAAACTGGGGTCTCTACACTCAAAAATCCACATCCTCAAATGCTTCACCTGTTTAACAGCAGCATGTATCGATCATTAAGAAAAACTTAAGACTAAAATTCTATTTTCATTCTAACCATACCTTGTTTTCAGCTATTTCCGCTTGAATGCCAAGTATCCCAGCAGTAATGTCCATGGCCATGATCAAGAGACAAATCAGAAAACCAAAGTTTTTTGCCATGTCTATTATAGAAGTTTAGTATGGAGCACCAAAGAATATGATTGCAAAGAAGGCAGGAGAAACCTCTCAGTGAAAGGCCCCCTTTATAAGAGCAAGCTTTATGAATTCTGGAGTCCGAATGAAGAGGAGAATACGAATAAAGTAAGACCAGGCATACAGATTAATAGTAACAAATACGAGGGAGATTGGCTGTGAGCTGTTAGTTTTGGATTTAAAGCTTCTTTTGTTCATACATTTTTCTTTATTCTTCTTTTCGCACCTTTTCTTTTTGAATTCGTATTCCTTCCATGGGGAACAAGAAAAGTAGATTATCCACAGGACTAAGAGAAACATTTGATCAATCCCTGAGTTGTGTGGACAGTAAATCATATCCCAACTTGATCTTAATTGTAAGTAGAAACCTTTTGATAAGTCATGGCTTAATTCTCAAAGGCCATCATGGCCCATGGTCAAAGCCATAGCAACAAACCCCAGTTTAGCTTGGGGCATCGGCAGTAGCAACTGTATGATATCCTAGCCGTTCCTTTCTTTTCCAGGTTTCCCAATTTCAAGAATCGGTTAACTGATCAAAACGTTTTGGAATCAGGAAAAGGTGGCACCAACGTAACTTTGTGAAGCAAATGACATACATCAAAACCTTAGCTAGAAGCCTGGAATCAAACTTTTCTTTTCTTTTTTTTTTTTTTTTTGTTCATTGCCTGGAATCTAACCTTCAGTGGGCAGTGTCGCACCTTTAACTGTTTCAAATTTCTCATAAAGCCTTTACTTAAAAAAAAAAAAATTCTCATGAAGCATACATATTTTCACATAGGATAATGAAGGAACATGTACGGGAATCATAAAATAAATTGCCAATGTAGCTACTGACATACTGTAGCTACATGAAAATAATTCTCCAAAATTTGATTTGTTGAAACATAAAATTCGGCTTGATGATCTCACGCTATATTATCAACGGAACAGATTTAACAATTTAAACATTATGAAGATTAAAAAAAAATTCACTGAAAAAACAATTTTACACGTGGCCCGAATATGCTGAGAAAGTACAGGTGTTGGGCGGGTCCAGACCATGGACCGAGTCTATTCGAAACACATTTCTCTAGAACCAACTCAAAACTTCAGAAATCTCCAGCGTAGACATCAAACAAAGGTTATAGTAGGCTTTTTATTAATAAATTAAAAAAAAAAAAAAGAACTATCTACAAATACATAAAATCCCAAAAGAAAGGGTTAACAGAAATGTCGATGTATTACAGATGGAAGAACTTCGAGGAAGACGAGGATCGACCCGAAAAGCCTCGCCGGTTTGGGGTCACAGAAATGCGAGGACCCAATCACACTCTCTTGACCCAGAACGTCCTCCAGGTATGGGAATTCATGGGTTGTTTTTATTTCTGATCAACTTCTTTGTTGATTGTCTGTTTGGAAATTTGGGGTTGAGCTCAAAATTTGTTTCTTTTACCAGGAAATGTTTGAGTCAATGGGTCAATTTGTTGATGGATTGAAGTTCTCTGGGGGTTCCCATAGCTTGATGCCAAAATCATTTCTCAAACAAGTGATTGACATGGCTCACCAGCCTAATGTTTATGTTAGCACTGGTGATTGGGCCGAGCATTTGCTTCGTAAAGGTCCATCAGCGTTTAAAGACTATGTTGAGGTACACCCAGATGAAAGTTTTAATGCTTTTTGTAAAATGTTTTCCTTTCTGATATAGTAATAATTTAATGTTAATAGGAGTGTAAGCAAATGGGGTTTGACACCATTGAGCTTAATGTGACATCGCTTGAAGTTCCTGAAGAAACTCTTTTGAGATATGTGAGATTGATTAAAAGTGGAGGCCTAAAAGCCAAACCTCAGTTTGCTGTCAAGTTTAACAAGTCTGATATTCCCATTGGTAGAGATAGAGCATTTGGGGCTTATATTCCTCCTTCGCCTCGATCAACTGGTAGGGGATCAGATTCTTTTAAATGAGCTAGTAATTTTTTTTAATGATTTCCAATTTCTCATGCTGGCTTTGATTTTTTTTATTTTATATTTATTAAGTTAAGCTTCAGAAGAGTGGAACAGATAGCTAGTCACACTTTTTTAATGATTTCCTTTTTGAGACCCCTCATTTTGTGTCTATGAACATGTCTTAGCAATAATGTTCAGCATTTGCTGTGTTAGAGTGAGTGGAACCATTTAAATATGGAATTTCATGTCCTCTTGGTGCTATGATTGTTTTGTCTTGAAATTGCTTTGGATGAGTGTTTAGAGTGAGTGAAGCCATTTAAATAGGGAATTTCATATCCTCTTGGTGCGATGATTGTTTTGTCTTGAAATTGCTTTGGATAAGTAATTTTGTGCTAAGGGATTTTAATTATGCCAATTATACACTGCAAGATAGTTGTCCTTGTATCCATTTCATATATTTTTTTGTGAACTGGTGCTTGGTGTTGAGAGATTCAAATTCTGCTCGCACCTCTTTATGTTTTCATCAATATTTGTGCTTAAATTTTTAAGTTTTGAGAAGCTCCAATTCTGCAATTTACATCTTTTGCACTATGTTGACCTGAGAGATTTAGGAAAGGAAGACATGGTTGAACCAATATGGTATCTGAGCTAATTTGAAAACAACCACAATTATTACGTTTGCTTAGCTAGTGCGAAGTGGCTGCTTAGCTTTTCTAGTGAATGTTGCCTGGAATAACACTCGATTGTGTTTATGCTTTTGGGTTGGGAAAACTTGTCTATAATCCTAAGCTTACCTTTGTTGACAGAATTTGTTGAAGATGTGGATCTATTGATTGGAAGGGCTGAGCGATGCTTAGAAGCTGGTGCAGACATGATAATGATCGATGCAGATGATCTATGCAAACAAGCTGATTCCGTACGGGCAGACATAATTGCAAAGGTTATTGGGCGTCTAGGTCTTGAGAAGACCATGTTTGAAGCTTCAAATGCAAGAGCTTCTGAGTGGTTTATCAAGCAATATGGACCAAAGGTATAATGATTTTTCACTCAGTTTTCCTCGTACCAAACTTTGATGTTCTGTGCGTACATCATCCACATTCATGGCTTGTTCTTTCAGGTGAACCTCTTCGTGGATCACTCTCAGGTAATGGATTTAGAGTGTCTCAGGGGGCGCAACCTGGGGAAAAATCACACCTCGGTTCTTGGTTCTTCTTATTTTCTGTTCTGAACTGATAAGGACTTCTAAAATACCAATTCCCTGTTGTCATTTGTCAAGTTAATGTTGTTACATGTTACATGTGGTGACTGTGTGTTATTTTTGTGCTGTGAGTGTGATGTTAAATGAAAATGAAAACTTTATTGGCTATTATTTCGATAAAGGTTAAAAAAATTAGATGCGTAAGTTGTATTTTTTTTTTTTTATCATATTTGCAGCTTATGTAAATCCACAGAACACCTAAGGGGAGGAGCTCCTTGGACCTATAGAATACATGAAACGAAAGAAATGAAAAGTGTGCCTATGCACAGTCCAGATATTGAATTAAACGAAGTTTATAATATTCCTGAAATGCTGCCAGAGACGATTGGTGGCCACAGATGGATAAACAATGAGAAACAAAAAAATCAATAAATATTGGTTTAAACTTCACAGAGTCGGAAAATGAATTACCGCGTTGTCGGTGAATGCGCGGACAATGAATTATGCTACCCTGTTATGGTTTCTTAGATCCAATATTTAGGAGTACATGTTTCCAGCAGGGTGAGCGGCAAAAATTTTTCTGCTGATTGATGTCTCTAGTCTGGACTGATAAGCACGTCGCAGCTGATAACAATATCTTAATCGCTGCCGTTGGTCACACCCTTGTATGCTACTTAGCACGTAAGAACAAAAGCTTTAGGTGAAATCGTAAAGACATTTGGTATTTGAATTATCATAAGACTAATTACTATTATGTATAAACCAGCTTTTAGGTTCTAAAAACCCCTAACAGAGATGATTAAATAACATCTATCACTTGCAAATTTTGATTAAAATGATCGAAGTTCATCAGGTTATTGCCTTCAGTTATAGGTAATGTAGCCAAGTTTCTGTGGGCATGTTTTTATGAGGAAGTTTGTGAGTCAAGGCAAATGTTTCTTCGCTTGTTTCACGGAATCAGTATGCCATAAAATCTCTCAAGCCTCTGATAGACCTAGGAATTAGGGCATTTCGGATCTCTAATAATTGGTTCTTGATTGATTGAGGGCATTTATTTTAGTGTTTCCAACCCAAAAGTTTGACATTCGTCTTAAAAACAAAGGAGAAGAAAGAAAAGGCAACTTAATGATTGGAAACATATTACATATATTAATCTGCATTCTTTTAACGTGCCTAATATTTCTTTCTTTTTTTACTTTTGCCTTTCTCAAAACTTGTAAGATTATGTTATGGGTATGGCTGCCCCAAACATGGAAATAACAGAAAAACGCGTTGAATAGGATGCAAAAACAGAAACAATGTGCAAAGAAAATCTGTCTTTCCTTGATGGTATGAACGCTTGTCTTGGTAATTCTAATAGTGTGATCAGAGGCTTCGAAGATGGAATTTTTAAGAGTTTTCGGAGATTGAAGACATAAAAACATATCGGTAGAGAAGAAGAGAAAAAGGGTTTAAAATAAGGGAGATGATGCCTGAAGCTTGGTTTTGTCTGAAGAGATCAGTTAAGTGTAAACCAGAGTTGTCTGATGTGCAGGATCCCAAAGGCAACAGTAGTGAGACAAGACAGCCATGCTTATGTAGGTCCGGGTGTTCAAGATCCATATCCAATTTAAGAGATGTCATTCATGGAAGCAAGAGACACACAGACAAGGCAGCAATTGGTAGCCCAAGATCTATAGGGAGCAGTGACATTCTCAATCCGATAATCCATCAAGTAGTTTTCACTGGCTCAAAATGTGAACTCAAGATTAATACTCGGTGTTGTGATGATAATGGCAGTGACAAGAGGGGTTCAACTTTTGTGGGAACCCTTAGGCCTGGTACACCTGGCCCTGGAAACCGCCTTATGGAGCCCGTCTACAGTGGTAGAAGGTCATTCGGCCTTTCAAGGACGATCCTTGGGGGCCCTTCCTTTTCGGGAAGCAGCAATGGCATCTCTTCAAGGCCTAGGAAATTTCTCGATGCAGAGTCCCAAGGTTTTGTTTGCCAAAAATGTGGTGAAAATTTTAAAAAGTTGGAAGCCATGGAAGCACATCATCTCTCTAGGCATACTGGTAAAGTTCATTTACGCATGTATACATATTTATATGCATTTTTCATTGAGAATTTTTCTGGAATTCCAATTGTTTTATATTAAAGTAGTTTGGGTTATTGAAAAACCTGACAATCATCTCGTATGTGCAGTCACTGCACTTTCTGAAGGAGATTCCTCCAAGAAAATTGTGGAATTAATATGCCAAACAGGTTTTTCAGAGTCTGAAAATAAATTCGGTCATATTGAAAGGATATTGAAGGTTCACAACATGCAAAGAACCCTTGCTCAGTTTGAAGATTACAGAGAAATGGTAAAGATTAAGGCTAACAAACTATCCAAGAAACATCCACGTTGCCTGGCTGATGGGAATGAGCTTTTGAGGTTCTATGGCACAACTGTTGCATGCTCTCTTGGCACGAAAAACACTTCAAGCCTATGCACATTGGAGAAATGCGGAGTATGTCAAACTCTAAGACATGGGTTCTTCACCAAGAAGGAATCCAACATTTTCCGGGGTGTTTTTACTTCTTCCAAAAGTAGAAGAGCTTTTGAGTGTATCGAGCTTGATGAAGGGAACCGAATCAACAGATATCTAAGGAAAGCTCTGGTAGTATGCAGGGTAATTGCAGGAAGGATTCATAAACCTTTAGAAAATTTGCAAGAAATGGAAGGTCAATCAAGCTTTGATTCGGTGGCCGGAAAAGTTGATTGCCATTCAAATATTGAGGAACTTTATTCACTAAATCCCAGAGCTCTCCTCCCTTGTTTTGTGGTCATCTGCAAACCCTCAAAGCAAACTGCTGAAACTATAACTTAGGTAGGAATAGGATTAATCAAAAACATATTTTCTCTTCTCTGTTTGTCCACATTCCTCTTCATTGAGGCCTAATTTCTTTCTCCAACCTTCCCCGAGGATTTTTTTTTCATAGAGTTTTTTGTGTTATGATTCGATAATTTATATATTTGTATGTATTTGATAAAAAAAATACAATACAGTTATATAAATTATCAAATTATCTTTTAAAAAAAAGTTACAAAATTTGTTCAATGGTATTTTCGGCCACATGTTATCATTGTCTTTTTAATAATTTTTTTTATATTTCTATAATGTTTGGTGAGGACTGAGAAAGCAAAAGAAGTAGAAATATTGACAAAGAAAAGTAAAATGAAATAGAAATAATCGGTTTCCTTGTTAGGATGATTATTGAGGTGAAAAAATGGAAGGGACAAAATCTTTTTTCCTTTATTCTTTGGCAGGTGATTGAAGAAGGAAAATAAATCAAGAAATTCTTTCTTTTATTGGTACGTTACTATTTATATGCTCACGTGACTAATTTTTAACTAGGTTACTATGGTTATCCACACGAATCGATTCAATTGAAAATTTAAAAAAAAAAAAAAAAAAAAAAAAACCCTTCTTTTAATGTCATTATGTCAACAAAGATTGAATTTTGAAAAATATATATTTTAAAAATAAAATTATGAAAATATACCAAATTGATATAAGGGAATAAAGCACTAATCCATTTTCCATGGGCTAGTAAGTTAAAAATTAAATTATTATATATATTATCTTCTCAAAAAGATTACAACATATATTATATTATATATTACATCAATAAAAATCAATTAAATAAAATTAACGTAAAATTAAATCAGATTGATACATGTTAAATTTTGAACTTAAAAATTTTAAAAGTCGCATTATTAACCATTTTACTTATTTTAACTTGATTTTAAAAGAAAAATTAATAATAAAACTCTATCATGTACTACGATTAATTTAATTAATAAGAAAATAAATTTTTATATATCAATTAAAATTTGATTTTAAAAAAATATTTTAAAAATAAAATCTTACATGCATTGATTCGAAAATTAAAATATACACATTTAAATTGCAAAATAAATAAATACAAACAAAATTAAAAATATCTCTAATTTTGTTATAAAAAAAAAAATTCTAAAACTCTATGAAACAAGGAGATGATAACGAAATGGGGAACGCCTTTTTCGAACCCCTACCAAACAAAAGCTCCACAACCACCCATTGTTATCCATGACTTGCGGATGTCACATACAGCTTCCATCACTGGTCTCTCATCATCATCAATGCCAACAGCAGGTTCCACAGGCAAACATTGTAATAAAAGGTTTACCCCTGTATTTATTATTCTTTTCACGTTATTCAAAAGGGTCAACAGATACATCTTCAAGCTTCACACGACTTATTTTTCAAGCTATAATTTTAAAAGGAAGTAAGAAAATATGATATTGTAATAATGACGACGCAAAAAAGCTATGAATTTAAAGATACATTATAGTGTAATTTTTTAATTTTATTTTCGTTTATAAAATTAAAAAAAAAATTATACAAAATAATTTCGTAGATATAAAATATTAAAAAATAAGTTCTTAAATTACTGTAGTTTGATAAAAAAAAAAAAAAAAAACACGTCCGTGAAACAATTGGACAAGGTTCAAGCAGTCTTTCATTCTTCAATCCAGCAAAGGCCATTCTAGTCTACACAGCTTTTAATTTGGGGGATGGCGTGACGCACAGATATTCGTTAGCGAAAATGATTTAAACCGTCTCTTGTGAGTGAGTGAGTGAGTGATTCACGTGTGGTCTCTCAGCATATTCACCCCCACTGATGGCTGGTGCCATGTCTAAAATTAAGCATGTGTATAATTGTCCAAGTATTGGATGAGTGGTTGTGGAAAGAGAATTGAAGATTCAGAGGGTGTCCATTTAATGGACGACGCCCACCGCTCAACAACCTAGGACTTATTGCCTACGTGCCGAGCTGAATTTAATCTCAAGCCTTAATTTCCGGTTTGTTGGCAATTAATTTCAAGAGATAGCAGTTTTTTTTTTTTTTTTTTTTTTGCAACGCTTTTAGGAAAGTTAATTAGGACTGCATCACCTAGAGCTTGAAAAGTTTATTTTTTTAATTTATCTAAAATATTAACTGTTATCGAGGGAAAGAATACCCTTCTAAAATGGACTAATTTCGCTAGGAAAGTCAAGTAATATTGAACATCAATAGGGAAAAAATTTAGATAAAATTTTTTAGGTCAAAATTTTATATTAAAAATGATTAAATAAAAATTAAATAAAAAATTAAAAAATCCTGTTATATAAATTAAATATATAAAACAAAAAAATTTTAATAAATTTTAATATATATATTTAGATAGATTTTTATTTTATTTTACGAAAATATTTTATCCCATAATCAATATTAATTAACAAATACGATTAGGAGAAGGACTATTACCCAATTAGGCTAACTAATATTTTAGGGGGTCATCCTTTAAAACATGAACTAATTACCCAACTAGACCATGTGGGAAACCTCTCGCACCACAAGGAAATAGCGGGTAATTGGAAGTTTGGAGCTTGGACCCAATTTTCAATCGTGTTTTCGGTATAAATGGTTGTGATATTTTGATTTTAGGAATCAAATTTAAATTTTAATAATTTCAAATATTTAAAAAATTATTAAAATTCAAGATGTGATGTTACATGTTTATGTTCATATTTTACATTGTTTAATTAGTATTAAGAGATAAAATTAACACATGAAAAAAAAATTGGCACGTCTGTTTAGTTGACAGCGACAATGATTGACTTTTGTGCGCTGGATTCTTTTGATCATCAAGATTCGATTAACCTCAAAACTCAAGTAAGAAAAGGACAACGGCACTCTTGATGCCTTGGCTGATTATAAATAGGGCATAAACTTTGGCGAAGTAAGTCACTTCTGTTCTTCTAGTAATTCTGTAGTAACACACGTCCAATCTATATATCATAAATCCCTCAGCTTTTATCTATACTCATAATTCATCACCATGGATTACAATAGCCAATTGCAAGCAGCTCAGCAGCAAGTTCTAAGTGACCAACTCAAGTCCGAAGCCTTTGATCATGTGACGAAACAACAAAGGCGATCTGCAAATTATAAACCAAACATTTGGAAATATGATTTCCTACAGTCCCTTCGTAGCAAATATGACGTAAGATTGATTCCAATCCTAGTGACTTTTAATATAAACCATTTCGTGCATGTACATAATGTCAGTATGTCACCCCTTTTCCCTTATGGAAAATTAAGGAATGAATAACTGAAATTTTGAAACTTTTGCAGGGGCAGGAATACAAGAGAAGGACTGAGAAGTTGAGAGAGAAAGTGAAGGACATGTTTATTGAAGCAGTGGACGAGTTAGCTACACTGCAGCTGATTGACATGATCAGGAAACTAGGTCTGGCGGACCTCTTTGCTGATGAAACGCATAAAGCTTTACAAGCTGTAGCATCTTCCAATAAGAACAGGAAGAGTAGTGAAGAAGAAGAAGACCTCTACATAACCGCGTTACGCTTCAGGCTCCTAAGGCTGCATGGCTACGAGGTTTCACAAGGCATGAATCTAATTAATATATCCATGTATTTTTTTTCTTGCTTTGAAATTACCTTTCCTATTTTCTACGATCTAACTCTCTGATCAAACGCGTGTTGCCAATTACTCAGATGTGTTCAACGCCTTCTTGGATGAAAAGGGTATATTCTCAGTAAGTAAATGCACAGAGATCAAAGGACTCCTTGAACTTTTTGAGGCCTCATATCTGGCTTTCGAAGGAGAAAACATTTTGGAAGAGGCTAAAGCATTCTCAACAGAAACTCTTAGGATTGTTTATTCTACTCTGGGTACAAATTTAGACAAGCAAGTAGCCCATGCTTTGGAGCTTCCAACGCACTGGAGGGTACAGTGGTTTGATGTCAAATGGCACATCATCATGTGCGAGAACAATAAAAACGTAGACAAAATTTTACTTGAACTGGCTAAACTTAACTTTAACATAGTCCAAGCTACCCTTCAGAAAGATCTAAGCGAAATTTCCAGGTGACAAACCAGATAAAACTTATAAAAAGTTTCCCTCACAATTTTTGAGTAAAATTAACAAATTAAAGATTTTGATTTGTTTCTTCTCAATGTATTAAGGTGGTGGAGGAATTTGGGACTGATGGAACATTTAAACTTCACAAGGGATCGCCTGGCTGAAAGTTTCTTGTGTGCAGTTGGACTTGCTTATGAGCCTCAATATAGTTGTTTCAGAAAATGCCTCACTAAGATCACCACTATGATATTGATAATAGATGATGTTTATGATGTTTATGGTTCCCTAGAAGAGCTAGAGCAATTCACCGATGCTGTTGATAGGTAAAGTATACAATATTTACCTACGTGCAGCATGCAGTAGACACTTATGCCATTTTTGTAAAGCATTTCTATTGAAAATTTTAAATCTTAAATTCAGGTGGGATTCAAGCAAAATTCAGCAGCTGCCAGGGTGCATGAAGATATGCTTCCAAGCTCTATATGATATTATCATTGAAATTTCTCATGACATCCATGAACTCAATGGTTGTGATGTCCAAGTATTACTTCATTTGAGGAAAGCGGTACTAATTAATTGATGCTTCATTCCATATCCATTTGTTGGGTTTACGTTAGATGTTTACGTTTAGCTTTTATTTTCAGTGGGCAGGGTTTTGTCGAGCACTATTTGTGGAAGCGAAGTGGTATAGTGAAGGATATACCCCTTCACTTCAAGAGTATCTGAGCAATGCATTGATTTCATCCGGAGGCATTGTTATTTCTGTCCACTCAATGCTTTCTTTGGGGCATGCTGTAGCGAATGAAATGGTCGATTTCTTGGGCAAAAATCAAGATCTTGTCTACAATATATCAGTTATAACCCGACTCTGCAACGACTTGGGAACTTCAGTGGTAATTGTCTATTCATGTATTTTCTCAAGTTTCTTAATGTTTTACTTAAGAAAAATGATTGAATCAACGATTTCCAACAGGCAGAGAAAGAGAGAGGGGATGCTTCATCATCAATCCTGTGCTACATGCGAGAAGTGAATGCTTCAGAAGAAAAAGCTCGAGAGCATATTAAGGAGATGATAACCGACACATGGAAGAAAATAAATGGTCAATGCTTCAGTAATCAATCACCTTTGTTGCAAACCTTTGTCAAAGTTACCACAAATGTTGCTCGTATGGTGCATTGCCTGTATCAATTTGGAGATGGGTTTGGCATTCAAGACCAAGAGACCCGAAGACACATCCTATCTCTCTTAATCGAGCCTTTCAAGCTCGATTAATTATAATGAAGTTCTAATCAAATATAGATGTATATAATTAAGAATTAAATAATAAGGGTAAAAAAGAGCAAAGCGCAGCCTGCCAACCTCCGAACAAAAGGACAAAACAAGCTTTTCGAGCATGTGCTTCACCAGATTGCACGTACGACACAACTTTTTTGAGGTGGAAATTGAAGGTTCTCGCCTGCTTGAATGAATTGACGCACTAATTGTTCTCTTGGTAAGTCCACCAACAGTACGAGGGTCGCTGTTTTTACCAAAAATGGTTGTTGTTGGTTGATGAAAGGGTTTAATATGAGGTGTTTTGCTTTGCTTCTTCTATCAGTTGCAATCCGTTCATGTTTTTGTCAAATTTCTCATTCGCTGTTGTACCATTGCATGCTCAATGTTATTTTCGATGGAAATGAACTTCTAGAAAAAAAAAATTTTTCAATTGTTTGATAACTTATAAATTAAAAAAAAATTAATATCCATTTAATATATATTTAATAATATTTAAAATTTAATATATATTACATAACTATATTTATTTTTAGTATTAAATTAAAAATGATAGACTATTGAAGATTAAAAAATAAAATAATAATGTATAAAATTAATATTAATATTTATATTATATTTATATTATTAATATAAAAAATAATTTTATAATAATTATTAAATGAGTATCATAATTTATTGTTTAAAATAATTTTTATATGATATTAAATAGCTAATTAAGTATAATAATTAAAAAATTAAAAATTAAAATAATCTTTATATATTTATATTAAATTAAAATAAATATAATAAATATGTTAAACATATTAAACATGTTAAGCATATAATCATATGATAAGATTAAATTAAACGTATTATTTTTGTCATGTCACATATTTAGATGTGTCAATATGTATCACATAAATAAATACAAAATATACTTTTTTAAAATACAAATATAATTTTTTTGTGTTATATTATGTCTAAAATTATTAAATTTACTTAGAGCTAATCTCATGAAAATTGTCTTCCCTATTGCCTTCTGCTAAAAAAAAAAAAGGGAAGACAATTTCTGTGTTTTGCCTCACTTTTTCTTTCAATTGACTATAGCTGTTGACTATATTATTGTTAGTTATCCAAAGAATCAAAAAAGAAGAAATAAACTTTCGAAAATTATTTTCATGCTTAACAAACGGAGGCTTAATTTGATATAATGTTCCAATCTTCTCTTTTTTTTGCTTTATGTTTTGATTTATACTATTCTGGGTATAATCCAAAATTTTAAATTTGGGCCTTTCTGGCCGGACCCAACTGCCATTTCCCGGGCTGATGGATCCAACTCCAAGGAAATGGCTACTAATTTTGAGAGGTTTATTGCCTCCTTCACAGTGAGCAGATGATGTTACTGCTGTAGACACCGATTTTATTTGGATCTATTATTTTAATAATAATAATAATATTTTTAATAAAAAAATTATTAATAAACAAATAAAAAATAAAAAAAACAAACAAAATAAAAAAAGAAAAAAAAACAAAAGAAACAGAATAAGACAGAAATCAAAGAGTCAATACGGCGCCGCTGTCACCAGCCCCCGATTAGCCTCCCGACCAGCCACCCTATAGCCACCAACAAACTACCTTACAGCCACCTAAACCCCCTAAATCGAAACCCTTTAAAATCTCCAGCCATCTTTCTCATTCCAGGTCTCTGCACTCTCTAACAACAAAAAAAAGAAAACCCATTCTCAGACGAACTCTTCCCCCTCAAAACACCTTTAACACTCTCAGACAGACTCCATTCCGATGCAAAAAGAAAAATCAAACTTCAAATACTCCCCAAGATACCTAAACCGAGAACAAAAACAGATCAGCCAAAAAGAAAAAAAAAAAGAAAACAACGCAATCCTTCCCTTAGGGAGGAACCTCAACGCCAAGCTCCATGCAAAAGCAAAGAAATCATTAGTTTCGCCAAAAAAAAAAAAAAGAAAAGTATACCGAAAACTTCAAAACCAGATCTACGCGAATCAAGGCCATTTTCGGTGAAAAGAGCACCAGATTTGAGCTCAGGAGGTTGAACGGAACCTCCGGGTCACTTTTCAAATTTTCAACCACCGCCAACAGCGACTCGCACAGCGACCGACCAGACGACCGGCGAGCCAGAGAACCCCCCCTAGAGCCTTTTTTTTTCTGTCGAACGAACAGACTAAAAAAATTTTTTTTTCTGACTTTTATAGAAAAGATAGGCTCAAAACGACGTCGTTTCGAGCATAGGACCAAAACGACACCGTTTCAATCGTAGATGATCTGCGCGTGGACCAAATCGACCCGAGATCCATGCAACCCGACCCGACGACCCGTTTCAGCCAACCTTGAACTGGTTCAAACGAACCGCCAGTGAACCGGTCTAAACTGTTGGTCGCCCAAACTGCCGATCCAACCGTCGAACTGATCCAACCGCCCGGATCAGCGTTGACCGGACCGTTGACCGATCCGGTTCAAGTAAAAAAAAAATTTTTTTTTTTTTCTAAATTTTTTTATATTATTATTTTTTTTATTTTTATATTTATGTATGATAAATGTTTAGATTTATTAGGATAAATATCTAATTGTTATTAATGATAAATAAATGAAAACAATAAATGTTAAATTACAAATTAAAACAATTTTTATCCAACATCGAAAATAGCGCATAATTAAATGGTATCAATTTATGGGCGTTGTGGGGGTGCTAATCTTTCTCCACGCGTAACCGACTCCCGGACTCAACCTGATTTTTTGCAGATCGAAATTTATCTTTTTTATAAACTCTAAACTCATTTTTATAATTTTATTAAAAAGATAAATTTTTGGTGGCCAATCAAACCCTAACAAAAATTGGTGACGACTCCCCTTTTTTAAAATAAAAACTTATTTTTACGTCTGACGGTCTCAAAACGTTACGATAACTGCTAACTGATTTTTTTGCAGCCATTGATTTATAATTATGCTGTATGACTCATGAGTCATGAGTACCCTAACTCATGAGTTATCATTGTCTTTTTAATAAGTTTTTTTATATTTCTATAATGTTTGGTGAGGACTGAGAAAGGAAAAGAAGTAGAAATATTGAGAAAGGAAAAAATGGAAGGGGCAAAAACTTTTTTCCTTTATTCTTCGGCAAGTAATTGAAAAAGGAAAATAAATCAAGAAATTCTTTATTTCATTGGTACATTACTATTTATATGCTCACGTGACTAATTTTTAACTAGGTTACTATGGTTATCCACACGAATCGATTCAATTGAAAATTAAAAAAAAAAAAAAAAAACCCTTCTTTTAATGTCATTATGTCAACAAAGATTGAATTTTGAAAAATATATATTTAAAAAAAAATTATGAAAATATACCAAATTGATATAAGGGAATAAAGCACTAATCCATCTTCCATGGGCTAGTCAGTTAAAAACTAAATTATTATCTTCTCAAAAAGATTAGTATATATATTATATTATATATTACATCAACAAAAAATCAATTAAATAAAATTAACATAAAATTAAATCAAATTTATATATGTTAAATTTTGAATTTAAAAATTAAAATGGTCTCGTTATCAACTATTTTGCTCATTCGAACTCGATTTTAAAAAAAAATTGATAATGAAACTCTATCATGCACAACGATTAATTTAATTGATAAAAAAATAAATTTTTATATATCAATTAAAATTTGATTTTAAAAAATATTTTAAAAATAAATTCTTACATACATTGAATAGAAAATTAAAAAATACACATTTAAATTGCAAAATAAATAAATACAAACAAAATTTAAAATATCTCTATTTTTATTAAAAGGAAATCTAAAACTATATGAAACAAGGAGATGATAACGAAATGGGGAACGCCTCTTTCGACCCCCTACCAAACAAAAGCTCCCCAACCACCCATTGTTATCCATGACTTGCGGATGTCACATACAACTATCCATACTGGTCTCTCTCATCATCAATGGCAACAGCAGGTTCCGCAGGCAAACATTGTAATAAAAGGTTTACCCCTGTATTTATTATTCTTTCACGTGATTCAAAAGGGTCAACAGATACATCTTCAGCTTCACACGACTTATTTTCAAGCTATAATTTTAAAAGGAAAATAAGGAAAATATGAGATAGTAATAATGACGACGCAAAAAAGCTTATGAATTTAAAGATACATTATAGTGTAATTTTTTAATTTTATTTTCGTTTATAAAATTAAAAAAAAATTATACAAAATAATTTGGTTAGATATAAAATATTAAAAAATAAGTTTCTTAAATTACTAAAGTTTGATAAAAAAAAACACGTCCACGAAACAATTGGACAAGGTTCAAGCAGTCTTTCATTCTTCAATCCAGCAAAGGCCATTCTAGTCTACACAGCTTTTAATTTGGGGGATGGCGTGACGCACAGATATTCGTTAGCGAAAATGATTTAAACCGTCTCTTGTGAGTGAGTGAGTGATTCACGTGTGAGTGAGTGAATCACGATTCACGTAGGATGCTTAAGGTCGATTGTAACGTCTGGCGTAGATACGATGATTCGTTTATTTGCGTTGGATTTATTTTGTTAAATATATATAATATAAAAATTATAATGTTGTAATTTATTATATTAAAATTTAAATTATATTTTTTATTTTTATTAAATTTATATCTGATTATTGTTAAAATTTTAAAATATATTTCTGACTATGGTGGAGCCAAAAATTTTTATAAAGGGTTAAATATATATATATATATGTGTGTAAGTACATAATTATTTATATATACTTTATATTACGAATATATTTTACATATAAAATTAAGAATAAAATTATAATAAAAGCAAATATTTAGTTAGAAGTTTATTTTTATTAATTCATGTTATTTGTATTTGTTGTTATTTTTTTATCAATTCAAAATAATTAGTTAAGTTGATTTTTAATTAACGATAAGTATTTTTTTTATAAGACAAACTAATTATATATAGCTTTTCATGAAATATTGAAAGTTTTTAATAAAATGGATAGATTAATAAAAATTAATAAATAGATCAAAACATTGTTACTTTAATGTTTTCAAAATTTTCAATTACATAATCTAATCAAAGTTCTTAAATTATAATATGAATATTATTTTTAATTTTCATTCATAATCTTCATATAATTCGCTTTTAGTCATAAACTTCATGAATTTTATTTAAATATTTATATGTTTTGCTATTTTATCTTTTTGTTATTAAAGTGTTTAACTTATTTACAGTTAAGTATTTAACTTAGTTATTAATACATAATTCCCCACCCAACAGAACTTGAATTAATCCATCCCAAATCAAAAGTGTTTAGCTTATTTATTGGCAATATAAAATATGATTAAATCATTTTACGTAAAAAAATCCTTATAATTTACAAAAAAATTAAATTTAAAAGCTATTATTCAAGGGGAGAGATTGACTTATACAAAAAAAAATTTTATACTTTATATTAATTTTAATAAATTCAAATGATGAGATTAAATTATTTTTCTCTTTTATTTCTTAAATCTACTAAAATTAATGATTAAAAAATATATAAAATTTTTTAATTTTACACTAAAATAAGGTGATCCCTTCTTATTATTTGTATATATTTTTTAATACCATAAATATATATATATATATATATATATATGTATTATCTGTGGTCTCTTGGGTCTCATGAGTCATATTCACCCCCACTGATGGCTGGTGTCATGTCTAAAATTATGGATGTGTATGACTGTCCAAGTGTTGGATGAGTGTTCTGAAGAGAGTAAGAATTTTTGAGGGTTCCTTAATGGACATCCACCGTCAACATGCTTATCCTATGTAACCAGCTAATTTAATTAAGCGCATTACGGTTTGTGCCCAATTAATTTCAAGAGATAGCAATTTTTTTTTTTTTTGTTACGCTTTGAGGAAAGTTAATTAGAACTGCGTCACCTAGAGCTTGAAAAGTTTATTTTTGTAATTTCTCTAAAATATTAACTGTTATTGAGGGAAAGAATACCCTTCTAAAGTGGACTAATTTCGCTCGGAAAGTCAAGTAATATCCAACATGGACTAATTTTGCTCGGAGAGTCAAGTAATATTGAACATAAATAGGGAAAAAATTCAGATAAAATTTTTTAGATAAAATTTTTTAGGTAAAATTTTATACTAAAAATGATTAAATAAAAATTAAAATAAAAAATTAAAATTTATAAATTAAAAAATCTCGTTATATAAATTAAATATATAAAACTTAAAAAATTTTAATAAATTTTAATATATATATATATTTAGATAGATAGTTTTTTATTTTACGAAAATATTTTATAAATTTCAAATAAATTTTATCCCATAATTAATATTAATTAACAAATTTGATTGGGAGAAGGATTGTTACCCAATTAGGTCAAGATAACACTTTAGGGGGTCATCCTTTAAAAAATGAACCAATTACCCAACTAGACCATGTGGGAAACCTCTCACACCACAGGAAAAAAGTGGGTAATTGGAAGTTTGGAGTTTGGAGTTTGGACCCAATTTTCAATCTTGTTTAAGGTATAAATGGTTGTGATATTTTGATTTTAGGAATCAAATTTAAATTTTAAGAATTTCGAATCTTTAAAAAATTATTAAAATTCAAGATGTGATGTTACATGTTTATGTTCATATTTTACATTGTGTAATTAATGTTGTTTAATTAGTATTAAGAGATAAAATTAACACATGAAATTTCCAGGTGACAAACCTGAAAAAACTTATAAAAAGTTTCCCTCACAATTTTTGAGTAAAATTAACAAATTAAAGATTTTGATTTGTTTCTTCTCTATGTATTAAGGTGGTGGAGGAATTTGGGACTCGTGGAACATTTAAACTTCACAAGGGATCGCCTGGCTGAAAGTTTCTTGTGTGCAGTAGGACTTACTTATGAGCCTCAATATAGTTGTTTCAGAAAATGCCTCACTAAGATCACCACTATGACATTGATAATAGATGATGTTTATGATGTTTATGGTTCCATAGAAGAGCTAGAGCAATTCACCGATGCTGTTGATAGGTAAAGTATACAGTATTTACCTATGTGCAGCATGCAGTAGACACTTATGTCATTTTTGTAAAGCATTTCTATTGAAAATTTTAAATCTTAAATTCAGGTGGGATTCAAGCAAAATTCAGCAGCTGCCAGGGTGCATGAAGATATGCTTCCAAGCTCTATATGATATTATCAATGAAATTGCTCATGACATCCATGAACTCAATGGTTGGGATGTCGAAGTATTACTTAATTTGAGGAAAGCGGTACTAATTAATTAATGCTTCATTCCATATCCATTTGTTGGGTTTACGTTAGATGTTTACGTTTAGCTTTTATTTTCAGTGGGCAGGTTTTTATCGAGCACTATTTGTGGAAGCGAAGTGGTATAGTGAAGGATATACCCCTTCACTTCAAGAGTATCTGAGCAATGCATTGATTTCATCCGGAGGCATTGTTATTTCTGTCCACTCAATACTTTCTTTGGGGCATGATGTAGCAAATGAAATGGTCCATTTCTTGGGCAAAAATCAAGATCTTGTATACAATATATCAGTTATAACCCGACTCTGCAACGACTTGGGAACTTCAGTGGTAATTGTCTATTCATGTATTGTCTCAAGTTTCTTAATGTTTTGCTTAAGAAAAATGATTGAATCAACGATTTCCAACAGGCAGAGAAAGAGAGAGGGGATGCTCCATCATCAATCCTGTGCTACATGCGAGAAGTAAATTCTTCAGAAGAAAAAGCTCGTGAGCATATTAAGGAGATGATAATCGACACATGGAAGAAAATAAATGGTCAATGCTTCAGTAATCAATCACCTTTGCTACAAACCTTTGTCAAAGTTACCACAAATGTTGCTCGTATGGTGCATTGCCTGTATCAATTTGGAGATGGGTTTGGCATTCAAGACCAAGAGACCCGAAGACACATCCTATCTCTCCTAATCGAGCCTTTCAAGCTCGATTAATTATAATGAAGTTCTAATCAAATATAGATGTATATAATTAAGAATTAAATAATAAGGGTAAAAAAGAGCAAAGCGCAGCCTGCCAACCTCCGAACAAAAGGACAAAACAAGCTTTTCCAGCATTTGCTTCACGAGATTGCACATACGACACAACTTTTTTGAGGTGGAAATTGAAGGTTCTCGCCTGCTTGAATGAATTGACGCATTAATTGTTCTCTTGGTAAGTCCACCACCAGTACGAGGGTCGCTGTCTTTACCAAAAATGGTTGTTGTTGGTTGATGAAAGGGTTTAATATGAGGTGTTTTGCTTTGCTTCTTCTATCAGTTGCAATCCGTTCATGTTTTTGTCAAATTTCTCATTCGCTGTTGTACCATTGCATGCTCAATGTTATTTTCGATGGAAATGAACTTCTAGAAAAAAAAATTTTTTCAATTGTTTGATAACTTATAAATTAAAAAAAAATAATATCCATTTAATATATATTTAATAATATTTAAAATTTAATATATATTACATAACTATATTTATTTTTAGTATTAAATTAAAAATGATAGACTATTGAAGATTAAAAAATAAAATAATAATGTATAAAATTAATATTAATATTTATATTATATTTATATTATTAATATAAAAAATAATTTTATAATAATTATTAAATGAGTATCATAATTTATTATTTAAAATAATTTTTATACGATATTAAATAGCTAATTAAGTATAATAATTAAAAAATTAAAAATTAAAATAATCTTTATATATTTATATTAAATTAAAATAAATATAATAAATATGTTAAACATATTAAACATGTTAAGCATATAATCATATGATAAGATTAAATTAAACGTATTATTTTTGTCATGTCACGTATTTAGATGTGTCAATATGTATCACATAAATAAATACAAAATATACTTTTTTAAAATACAAATATAATTTTTTTGTGTTATATTATGTCTAAAATTATTAAATTTACTTAGAGCTAATCTCATGAAAATTGTCTTCCCTATTGCCTTCTGCTAAAAAAAAAAAAAAAAGGAAGACAATTTCTGTGTTTTGCCTCACTTTTTCTTTCAATTGACTAGAACTGTTGACTATATTATTGTTAGTTATCCAAAGAATCAAAAAAGAAGAAATAAACTTTCGAAAATTATTTTCATGCTTAACAAACGGAGGCTTAATTTGATATAATGTTCCAATCTTCTCTTTTTTTTGCTTTATGTTTTGATTTATACTACTCTGGGTATAATCCAAAATTTTAAATTTGGGTCTTTCTGGCCGGACCCAACTGCCATTTTCCCGGCTGATGGATCCAACTCCAAGGAAATGGCTACTAATTTTGAGAGGCTTATTGCCTCCTTCGCAGTGAGCAGATGATGTTACTGCTAATTGGTTTTTTTGCAGCCATTGATTTATAATTGTGCTGTATGACTCATGAGTCATGAGTACCCTAACTCATGAGTTATCATTGTCTTTTTAGTAAGGTTTTTATATTTCTATAATGTTTGGTGAGGACTGAGAAAGGAAAAGAAGTAGAAATATTGACAAAGGAAAGTAAAATGAAATAGAAATAATTGGTTTCCTTGTTAGGATGGTTATTGAGGTTAAAAAATGGAAGGGACAAAATCTTTTTTCCTTTATTCTTTGGCAGGTGATTGAAGAATGTAGTCATCAAATTTTGTTCAGAGTTTATATTTTTTAATAATAATAATAATTTTAAAATAAATAATAATAATACTAATAATATTGATTTAATTATAATTAAAAAAATTAATTAATTAAAAATAAATAAATAAATAAATAAAAGAGAGAAAAAAAAAAAGACAAACAAAAAAGGTCCAAATAGAAGAAGAAACAAAAAAAAAAAATGGGCTGGTGTTAGCGGGTGCCGTACATGGCACCGCTGGCCACCCATGCCCTGCCAAGCCAGCCTAGCCATCATGCCACTACTTCAGCCATCATACCACCCCATTGTCCAATCCCTTCACTCTATTAGCACACGTTACCATCGTTTCTAACCTTATAAAATATACGATCTCCCTTCTCTGAAACTCTCGGACATCCTTCACTCGAGAACACCAGAAATACGCACATTTCACCCCTATCAAAAACCTTTCAGACACAACAAAAAAAACGCAAACAACCCCCCAAATACCTAAATAGATCTACGAAAATACAAAAAAAAATAAAAAAAATAAAACACAGTCCTCCCTATAGGGAATAACCCAGCACCGAGTCACCTGCACCAAAAAAGAAAGGTATCAGTTAGTTTTTGAAAAGAAAAAGAGAAAGAAAAGAATACCAAAAACTTCAAAATCAGATCTACGCGAATTGAGGCTATTTCCGGTGAAAGGGGTACCAGATCTGAGCTCAGGAGGTTGAACAGAACCTCTCGGTCAGTTTTGAAGTTTTCGACCACCGACGACCACCATCGACGGTGGACCAAGCCGCGGTCGGCGCGACGCTCGGGTGGCCAGATGGCGAGAACGCTGAAACTCCTCCCCAGAGTTTTCTCCCTTTTTTTTCCCTGAAATAGAAAAGAATGAACTAAAAAAAAAAGACTGACTTTTATAGAAAATATAGAAGCAAAACGACGCCGTTTCAAGCATAAGAGGATTCGCGCGTGGATCGAACTCGACTCGAGATACGCATAAACCGACCCATGGACCCGCTTCAACCAACCTCCAATCGATTTGGATGAACCGTCAGTGAACCGCTCGAATCGATCTGAACCGTTGATTAAACACCCGAACTGGTCAGACTGATCCATACTAGGGTTGACCGGACCGTTGATCAGTCCAGTTCAGGTAAAAAAAATTCTTTTTTAATTTTCTAATTTTTTATATATCATTATTATTTTTGTTATTTTAAGTTTTTATATTTATGCATGATAAAATGTTTAAATTTATTAGGATAAGTATCTAATTGTTTTTAATAATAATAAAATGAGAACAATATAGGATAATAACTAAAAAATATTAAAATTGCTTAAATAATAATAATAATAGAATATTTTTTTATTTTTTTCCTGCCTAGATGTTGGATGAAATTAAATCATGTTTCAAAAATAATAATTTCGCCTAGATATTGGGGAATTATTATTAATAAATTTTCATAAAGAAATATATGAGTTTTTTTAAATTAATTTTCAAAAATCATTAAAATTGAACTTGCTTCGAAAATTTGCCTAGATGTTGAGGATTTTTAGAGAGGTTCGTATTTTTTTAAAAATGAAACCTTACACACTAATTCTTAATTTTTAAATTCTTAGGTTTCTAAAACTCCTAAAATCCAAAATCCCCTAAAATTCAAAATCTTAAAATCCAAAATCCTAAAATCCGAAACTCCTAAAATCCAAACCCCTAAAATTTGAAACCCCTAAAATCCGAAACCCCTAAAATTCGAAACTTCTAAAATCCAAAACCTTAAAATCTGAAACCCTTAAAATCTAAAACCTAAAAATCCGAAATTTCAAACCTTTAAACTCTTAAATCCAAACCCCTAAAATTCAAACCCTTAAATCAAAACCCCAAACCTCAAATTTTAAAATCGAAACCCCAAAATCTTCAAACTCTAAAATCAAAACCCTAAATCTATTTCAAAACCTTAAGGATACGTGTGAAAATCTCACATGAAATAGTTTGTTCTCGAATGCTGCGTAAATAATGAGGTATTTAAGAAACTCTATTTCATTAAGTTTTTCACACGAGTTCTTAATTCACATTAATAATAAGATTAATGAATAAAAAATATAATAGTAAATTGGGATCTTAAATATAAACAGTCGCACCTAAGCTCTGTCTAGATGTTGGAGAGTCGAGGTGGTCTCATTATACTTAAGAACCCAACTTTTAAAGTGCATTTCATTTTACATGACATTCATTAGCATACATACGTTAACGTGTTATCATCAATAATTGTCGGCATTATTCTCTCTTTAATTTACTGTTTGATAATAAAATATTTTACAATAAAAAAAGAATAATGCATTTTTTAAAAAATTGTGATATTACAAAATAAAATAAAAATAACATTCCGAAAGAAATAATTTTTGGTACTCTGCCTAAATGTTGGAGAGTCACTAACAATTATTTTCTATGAAGATTGTTATTTCATTTTAAGGATTATTGTGTTAAATCTTAAGCGAAAAGAGTCATTTTAAATTCTGTCTAGATGTTAGAGAATTTTAAGATAATTCTTTAACTTAAAGATTTTCTCAATATTTCTAAATAAAAATTTTTAGCAAAATTTTACTTTTCCAAATGAAAGAAATTATTGTTAAATTTCAAATTGAAACCTTTTTTTATCTAACACCGAAAATAGCATGTAATTAAATGGTACCAATTTATGGGCATTGTGCGGGTGCTAATCTTTCCCCACATGTAACCAACTCCCGGATCCAACCTGATTTTTTGTAAATCAAAATTTATCTTTTTGATAAACTTTAAACTCCCTTTTATAGTTTTATTAAAAAGATAAACTTTTTGGTGGCTAATCACACCCTAACAAAGATTGGTGGTGACTCCATTTTTATTTCTCTTGATTTTAAAACTTTTTACGTCTGACGGTCCTAAAACCGTTACGACAGCTTGACGACTCCACCGAGGACTTTAATTTGAGAGTCAAGCCAAAACTTTTAATTACGTGTTATTAAGAATTGTTAGATTTAATTGGTTTTATTTCACATTTCATTTAATCTCTTTTATTTTGATTTTTCAAAAAAATATGCATTAATGAATAAGATAAATTGTATGTTAGTTGTTATTTTATATTAATTTTGTGTTTATGGTATTTTGATTAATACATTATTTTGTACACACTTTGCATATTCATGCATGAGCTCTAAACCCGGACTCTATCCCTTTTAGGAGGAAGTGAAGTAGCTACGCTCTCATGAGGTGATAACCTCTGTATTTGCTAGCGAAACACTTACACTCAGATTGAACCCGTTCCGTTAGTAGCTTGTAATAGGTGAAGATCGGGGAGTCTTACTAGTCTATAATGGATGATGATGTGAAGAATAGTCTGGGAACCTTTAGACACGTAAATCTTAACCCGGCATATAGTGAGCCGTGAGGTTCAACTTTAGGATAGAGCCATGCTATCCCTTTTACGAGAAAATTACCTAAATTAGGACACTATGTATATTCTATTATGATGCATGTTCATTCATTTACTCATTTTTATTTATTTGTTTTATTTACATTATTGATTTGTTTAATTCTTTTATTGTCTCCAACTTTGTTGCATGCATCATATAGGTACCATATTTCTAAAGGGTATTATT